GCTGCTGCTCGGTTTTGGCCGAGATAGGGCAGCTCCTCGAGCAACAACAAACTCTCGAGAATCTCAACTTCGACGGAGAACTCCCCGACTCCGACGACGTTTCGCCGGCGGACCAACAACTGTCTTCCCCCCCCGTCGCCGAACCATGCAACCCTCCTTCCGGCGGCCACGTCGAGGATAAAGGGTTCGCACGGCCCAACGTCCACCGTACAGCGGCCACCCCTCCCTGCCGCCGACGCCAGATAAGGGTGACCTATCTCAGACCGACGGAAGGGGTTGTACCTTCACTCGACTGTGTAAACAGAAGAGACTTCCGGAGCGACGGTGAGGAGCCGCTAGTGCACAGACTTGCGGGACAGGAATAATAATTCTCTAGGAAGAGGCAACGGTGGTCTCTGGGAAGAGAGGGAAAGAAGAAGAGTGACATAGCAGCCCTGATGACGCAGAACGACCTGACTAGGCGGTGACACAGACACAGTCTGTGCTGGCGTGCTGACGTGGTACAGCACTGACACGCTACCTGGGAATCTCCCCGGGCGTGAGACGACAAACAACCATCTGGGCCGTTGAATATATATATCTGGTACGTACGCGGGCATGTGCATACAGTGACACACGGGTGCGCGCGGACCGCACGGAAAGATCCGCAGAGCAAGCGGAGGAACAGTTGGACAGGGGACCTCGAGTAGGACGTACGTACGTACAACTACACCAGAGACTCACATCGAGACTGGTATTTTTTATCGAATATATTTGGCGCTTGTACCCTCCGGACTTCCAACTCAACTGAAACTAACTGTGGTTCCAGTGCCTACCTGATCAACGACGCCGTTGAACGTGACGTCGGGCTCGACCGTCAGCTCTCCAAGAACCTTCAGCGAGAAGTTCCCGAACTCCACGGCGGAGACTGTTGCCTTGAGCGTCATGGAGTTGCGGACACGGAAGCGGGTGTATTCATCGCAGGCGAAGGTGTTGGCGTCGATGGTAAGGCCGGTGACCTGGGTATCGTCGACGTCCGCAAGGTCAGCACAAGTGGTGACCATGTACTCGACCGCCGCAGCCGGCGTTGCCAGAAGGCTGGCGATGAACGTGAGAGAGACAGGCTTCATGTTATCTGTTGTGCCCCAGGGTGACAACCCACGGTGAGAGGAGGAAAAAAAGCGTTCTGTGCGCGGTTGACCGCGGTGGCTGGTTTCATCTTCGGCATAACTTCGCCAGTCAGGCCAATTCTGTCTGGAAACCACAACAAGAATCAGGTGGAAATTCGAAGGCAACAAGAAAGCAGCTGCGATTGTTTGATGAGATCAATCCTTCTAACTGTTTTCCAATTGATTAGGGTTGTAGAAGATGATGAGTGGCCCGCTTCAGTTTTGGTTGCCACATCACGACGAGCTGGCCATGACCTGAGCTCTCCCTGCAGAGTCTCTTCTTGGAGGCGTTGGGGTCTTCTCCCATGGCTACGACTCCAGGTGATTTAGGAATGTCTTCTTGTTGTTATGCCCGGACGACTTGCCTGCTCCATCCAGACCTTGTCTCATCACACCGTGGGGCACTTGATGTGCTGGCGGCCCTTGTTTTTTTTTCTTAGTGCTGGCGGCCCTTTTTGTCTCACACGGCATACTAATCTCCTTTTTTTCCTTTTTCCTTTTTTTTATATTTTCTATGACACAATAAACCCATCTATATCTACAGAAAAAAGTCGAAGATAGATTAGCAACGAATCCATAGCGTCAGCGAAGGGCTATCTGTGTGTCTATGATTTCCCGAACAGCACACAGCGACATCTCCCCTGTGGGTAGCAGGCTCAACAAGGTGGTTTGATAGCCACATCTTGTGTATCTATCTGCATGTTATATTGGGAAGTAATAAACGGAAGATTTACGTTCTTTTTTTTTCAGTCTCTGGTTACCTCGCATACATGTAGCGTGCAAGAGGCGGGCGGAGTGTCCTAGACTATCTGACTTGCGGATCCTTCGGGCCTATTTTATTTTCGTATACCTTTTTTGGGTAAGTTAGCCTGTGACCACGGGAATCGACCGCGTCAAGTGTCAAGACAAGTACGGACAGAGGAAGGTACTGGGTAGAGAGAACGGAACGGTTTTTGATGTCAAGACAACAACAACACCAATAGTTGCCTCGACTGCGGTTCGTTGGTTGTTGATTGAACTCATGCCAAGGGTACACGTGGAAAAAAAATCCGGACACATTCATTCGAAGTTCCCCCCCCCCGGACGGAGAAGAAATTCATTCAAAAAGTTACCATGAATCGTCGGGAAGTTACCATGATGAGGTTGGATGGATGGCAAACATGCCTCGCTCTCGTTACCCGTCCTGCATCTGCTCGTCATCGATACCGGCCCACGCTCACCCAGCCGTGCTACTACAGGAACACACGGAAACAAGCAGCCTTTCTTGGGTAGCGCCTCATATCATCTACGAAAGTACAGCAGTAGCAGTATTGACAAAGCTCGAAATGAGCCAAACAACTCTCAGCTTGACCAAGTTTCACGATTGTTGCCAACCATCTATTGAACCATCTGCCATGCAAACTTGCTCTTGCCGCTTCTAGCACTGCACAACAGGGAACATAGATAGTGTCGCATATCTACTCGTAGCCTCGGTCTCGTAGGGTGTACGTTAGACTTGACCAATCTACCCCGCTTACTCATGACCCTTACTTGCGAGTTCTCGCGCGGTGTCTCGCTTCGTTTTCTGTGGGCCAGTCGCTTCTTGCGTTTACCGAAAATAAATGTGCTTGCACATGCGACATAGCCATCCCATGTTGCTCTGACCAATCGGCCACACGAGCGACTGGCGAGCAAGTGGCTGCTCCTCGATTCTCATGGGGGTATATGCATGAGAAGATTGCGAAGACGACCCTGCAGTATGCATGGTGTCTGCCATCTTTCGGCGATCTCTACAGCTACACAGCGCCAGCAGCGCCAGCGGTGAGGCACACCGTGACAGAGAGCGGGACGCCGAAGCGCCGACACATCGGCAGAAAACCCGGGGATACATGGGTTATGCCCCCCCCCCCAAATGACCCCCACTTTCGATTAGATTCGTAGGTCTATTTGCCTTGATTTTTTTTTTACGTGTACCCTTGCTCATGCCGCAATTCACCTCGTAGCCGAGAAAAGTAAAAGCCCCGGACTCTCCTGAAGTGGATTTTGGAAGCACGAGTCGTCCCCACACCGGCCTCCTTTGATGCAAGCATCAATGGTTGCTTTCGGGGCGGCAGCGGGCTTACTTACTTACTGCTGCCTCAACAATCGTTTTTTGTCAGTGTGCCAAGCACCCCGTGAACCCCTGCCAAGCCGCGCTCGTCTCAAGAAATTACGCCAGTATCGCCAATGCTCGAGTTTCTTGTGATGAGTTCAACGGGCTCGCTCTTGCCCTCGAGCGGCGCGTGATATCGGTCGAAGCTCTCCATGGAAATCACGGGAGAGACCTTGCGCGCATGTCAGTGGAGCTATCGGGGGAAGGCAGCCACCAAAGGCTGTGAACGCGACCGACAAAGATGAGAACAAGGCAATGGACAAGCCACCAGCGGGGCGCGTTCCTCTCCAGCACGGGCCATGAAGAGAGCATAGGGACGCTCCCGGACGGGCACCCTTGCAACTGCTGTTGGGGGTGCTCAATCTGTGCATCCGACGTTTAGCCCGCGCTCGGGTCCAAGGTAATATGAGCACGGCACCCAGCCGAGAACTGCTCTCCCTTCCCTCGCGAGCTTCGACAGGTGGTGCAAAACGTTGTAGTGCGCCGAGACGAAGATCGGGAGCGGCAGAACGCCGTACACCCGAACGGTAATCTGGGCGGAGTGGGGGGCAAAACGAAGAACGCACTCGCTGTGAGATTACACATACTTGTTATGATACAGGAGTGCAGCCATGTCATAGCATAGGGTTTATAGAGACCGAGGGAGTTTCTGAACTCATGTGAAGAGAACCCTAGAACCATAGGAGGCCTCCTGGATCCTCCAGACCTCCTGGGTATCCTCACTTCGTTGTGGTAATGACAAAATGTGCGAAAGAATCAACAACCAAAAGTCACCATGCGGTGCTCATGAAGTGCAGATGCGTAGAATATCCCTCCTGTCTCACCTGGAGAGCGCTGAGAGTCCGCCCTTTTGCTGCCGTTAACGCATTTATGATTTGGGCTTCTCTTTCTTGCCGGTGTTTGATGTAGTACTCTATCTTCTCTTGCGCAGCTTCCACTGCGGGACCATGCCCACAGTACAACCTGAAAGGCGGTATGTGAATGAAGTAAGGAAAGAAACGTGTCGTTCGACACACGGTAAAGTACACCTCCGGGTTGGGAACAAGACCTGTTTATACATCACATACAGAGTACGTGCCACCCCATGAGAACCAGTTATTCAGCGCGAGGCTCGCCGCTTATGTAGTCTCAGTGTGGCGTAAACCAGCACAGACTACCTAGGTTCTAGAGTAGGATTCTAAACTAAGCACCGTTCTTATGGTCGAGCCCCATCATTTTCTGTCTTCAGGTTGAAATTCTTACCTCCGACGTTCGTACGTGCTGGTGCGGACTGTAGACTAAATTGTTACTACAGTACCAGTGTCTTCCATCACGTGTCGAGTGTTGAAAATCAGAGGCTTAGGGCCTGCTAAGACTGCGTAGTCAAGAACAGTTCCCTGGTGGTTTTGCTGGTGTTAGATTGCTTGGTGTGTTCTTTTCAGCGAACGTCAGATCTGCTGAAAAAATAGGTCCTCACTAAAAACAAGATAATAGGCTGATGACGCAAGTCAGAAGTCTATCTGTTCAAGTGACCTGTGCTACGGCGGTAGCAGCAGTGAGCAAGAAGGTAACAGAGGCGTGTGCCACACCTTGTTAACAGGTGTGCTGAGGTGCACTGTAGACGTGAGTCTACAACCAATGGTATTTGGTTCAAAGAGAAATGAGAAACAGATGTTGTACAAATTTGTTGTATTGTTGAGCTGGGCAGGAAACAGAGTGAGCTCCGGTGGGGGGCGTGCGCTCTGCCTGGTCAGCGTTTTTGTCGATTACCGATGAAACTACAAAGAACCTTAGTACCGGTCCGGAACCGTTCCAGGAACGTTCCGGGAACGTTTTGGGAACCAAACACCGTTCTATAAGACCAAAAGCACCGTTCCGGAAACGTTCCGGGAACCTTTCTAATCTTACTCTGGACTTTTCCTGAGAACATTCCTGAGAACCGTTCTAGGAAAGTATGCCCAATCTAGGAAACATTCCGAACCGTTACGGAATCTACCGCATCCATCAGATCGTTCTAGATACCTTTCCCGAAATATCGTTCTTCAAGTTGAACTTACTTCCTCAATAACTTCCTATACCGCGTTTAGTGTGCGTTATCAGGTATACTGAAACTGGTATATTTTTGTGCTACTGAAATCCCTCATGATGTATGTGACATCGTATACTGTGTTGTACTCAAGAGAATACGAATAACAACAGTCTTTATCAGGTGATACTGATACTTCTAACATCAAGTCCCACCTACCCTCCAGGCAACGTTCGCCTGGGTCTGCATGCGCCGCATCGCCAGCATCCAGCCGACAAACATCACCAAGAGAGTTGACATCACAATTACGCCCCTGTCTGTACTCCGCGTGCATCTAGGCCGACTCCAACAAGCTGAAGGAGGGTTTATTCATCATTGGTATCATGAATCGAGTAACCAAGGATCTTTCGCGCTAACCGAGGGAACAGTGGCCAAGCGAGCAAACAGCCTCACGGCATGAAAAACGGGCATGCCGTATGGCCATGACGTACCTCGTGAAGCCTCCTTCGTATTTCGGGCTCATGTCGCGGACTCGCTGCAGCGAATCCATGTAAGAGGCGAAGTCGTCGAAAATAGCCGTACCACACCCGAGTATCATGTCCCCGGTAAACAGGGCCTGTGTGGAACAATCACGGTAATTGTCGAAAGGAAAGGGGGAAAAGCACAACTAGGCGATCACCAACATGCTTCCCTATCCGACACAAAGTGCAAGCGAGAGGGGGGCCGACCGCAGTACGGGTCTCAAGTCCACGGCGGAGACTCGGGGCCGGGGCTTTCGAGCGTACGGAAACAGGCACAACGGTTAACACTGGGTGTGATCGACGTTCATGGGGTCTAAAAAAACGGGTATTCCCGCTTCACCACACCAACCCCAACGCCAAGAACGAAAACCTTTTTTCACCCCCGTGTACTACACAGATTGTTTTCATCCACGTGAACTATTTGTCTTGTTGGTTACGCATACGTACACCATTGACAAATCACAAGAGTGCTAACCTTTTCTTCGTGAAGAACAAACGCGACGTGGTCTTCGGTGTGTCCCGGGGTGGACACCGCTTCAAGGGTGGCTCCGGTTGTTCGAAACAGTTGACCATCCTCGATGCCTGAGTAGTCGAAATCTTGCACGGTTGGGCCGTACTGCGGGCGAAGAACCGCGTTGGGGTGGGGGGGCAGACCACACCGCCACCAGGAACGTGACGTGTAAGCCAAGGGCTATCCATGCCTTTCGTCGTTGTCAAGAGGAGCCACCCCATTGCTGGGTAGACAATCAACTTACGCTTACGTAAACGTCGGAGCGGGGGGGTTGTTGATGGTGCCCGAACGAACCCACGCATTCAGCACCATCGTTACAGGATTCTACCGAGAGTACACGATGGTCCGCGACCAACTGGCCCTGTGCATTCTAAGCCACGAGTGCAACCAAATGGCGCGCTACTGTGGATATGATGCCCGTCGGGGTAAATACGCCCACACCAGTCACCAAGCACCTCCAACGGCTAGGATTAGTCCAACGGCCACGCTTTTTAAAGCCAAGCCGTTGGAGGTGTTTGATTACTTGTTGTGTGGGCGTTGTAAATGTTCCCGGCCTATTCCCTGCTCGTGTCCAGGGACGTCAGCAAACTGCTGGACGTGTTTGATCAAACAAGGTGGTAGGATAAGCTCCAAACATGTCGATAGGGAAACTGTGTGCGGCAACAGCGGTAACTCGTGGTCTACCAGAGTTGTACACGTCATTTGGCAAATATACACTATTAGTCCCGGGCGCGCCAAGGTGACAACAGCCAACGTGGAATGCCTACCTTCTTGAAGACGGGAATGTTCCCACCAAGCGCCTTGCGGATGTCGTTTACACCCCCCACGTGATCAACGTGCCAATGTGTCAACAAAATAGCGTCCAGCATTTCGCATCCTGCTTGTCGCATTACATCCTGGTTTTTGGGTTGGTTAGCAAAGCACGGGAAGGTTCCATTGTATGATGTCGATTTGACCGAGAAAAAGTGCACATTACATGCAGTCACCGTAACCAGCCCAGGATCGGCCCCACATTGTAGGCGGGTACCCCATAGGGTGTAGACTAGTATCCCGCAGGACCACAATCTAGCCCGACTTCACAACATGAATACGGGGGCACAAAAATGGAATGTCCTGCCATAGATATGCGATGTAACGTTCTCTGGGCAACATATCGTGCGCCTCACCAGGAGATGGGGGACAAACCCAGCTTTCCCCTCGCCTGTATCGATCAGGATTCGCCGTGCGCCGTTGCCGACTAGATAACAGTTCGTCCCTTGCAACGTGTGCTGCGAGACAGAAAAACAACGAAAATTGGTGCAAGCGTGAGCCGGACGAGGCACACTCTCCGGCGCATTGTAGCCAGGTGCGGTTCTGAGGTGGGCAAAATCGTACCCTGGTCATAGAGTCGGCACACAAAGGAAGATGGAGACATCACACTATCACGAATATCAGACTCGCCTAAACACCACGCGCAATCCACCAGCAACACGATGTGAAGCTCATTAAATTCCGCGCACCATGCATTCATTGCTCCACCAACGGTTTACTCGACCTGATTGTTTGGCTCATGCACTCGGCGAAACGAAACGAGGCCACGTGTGTAGACCGTTCGAGTCGCTCTCCCTTTCCCTCACCATGCCAGGATTAAGAGCCAGCATCCTCACGACCAGATCGCTCTCAACCGCCCATGGGGCAACATGAGGCATACCTCGAGGAACCTGTGCGGTGCAGGAAGCGCCATGTTTTCGCGGATAAGATGTTTGACGCAGAACGACGGTGCTTTTACTTCAGTTATTTATTTTAAAGCGACGGCGGCTACACGGTTTGAGAGAGGGTCTTGCCAAGATGGATTCACTTTCTTGAACCCGGATTTCTCTCCATTCGTTTTTTAAGAAGGCTTATCATGAAGATTCTATTCGAGAAACCAAAATATAAAAATTTCAAAGGGGGGTGTATCAGGTAAATAGGTCTGTCGAACTGACGCAGAAGGTCATGGAGAACATCAAAAGTGTTGGGATCTCTACGGTTTCCTCCCTCGGGCCTGCTTGGAGAAGCAGGACAGGAGTGCCTTGCACATCTCTCTCGGACCATCGACGCTAGGAAGAACGACGAATCCGACAAAGCGCGCATCGATCGATGGAAAATATATGCGAAAAATCAAAGCAAAAATGAAACCGAAACCTGTGATACAGCAGGCACGCAAGTCCAGCTATGCGCCTTTCCTCCATCCATGTATGCCCCAGCACTCCTGCCTCTCTGCGATAGTACAAGCGTCTCATGGACGTCTACTTTGCTTCAATCGATCCCCAGTCGCCCATACAAGCAGCTCGGCCGTACAAGCCGGTAGCACGCGTTGACAAGCGGTATGTTGGTATTTAGTATGTAGAAGTAAAGATTATCGAGCTTGCCACCAATATAGGCCTCTGGGAGCTCATCCCTTTTCGCCTGCTGCTGCAAGTCTGGTTGTTACTCGATATCCTAGCCTGCACATTCTCGTCTGCAAGATGCTCGGGTCTGGTCTGTAGATCCAAACTCTGCGTGTGCACCTCGGTGCAAACCTTAACAAATGTTTTTTTCTTGTTTATTTATTTTTTTTTTCTTAATATGACACAACGAAACCATCTCTATCATTGTTTTTGTGTTTAGCCGGAGCTGACACAGATTCTAGGTTGAATAGTACTGGTGCACGGGATGGCGCCGGCGGCAAAATCTGTGAGCACGAGTGTCCACTCTTGTACTAAAAGCTAGATACAGTATCCCTGTTCTGCATTGTGTGTGGCTGTGTCCGGTATAGAGCCGGTCAAACCTCTGGATCCTATCGCTTTGAGTCTACATGTAGTTCTTACGGTGCCCTCGACTGCTGTAGCCCCAAAAGCGGCCAGTGGCATAAAACGGGATTTTACCGATCTGCTGTCGCTGCTGTTGTACCGCGCCGTTGTAGATACAATACTAGTTGCACGCGGAGGCTGGGTGCAGCACTACGGCCTCCGTATCTGTATTCACCGTCGCACGGATCGGTGGATCTGAGAGTTGAAACGGGGGGGTGCCAACAAAAAAAACGAGTTTCTTGGACTGCATGTCCAAACGAAGAGATAGATAAGTTGGCACGGATTGCTGAGGTAACTAACCAGCACGAAATAACTGTAAAAACGAGTGCACGGCGGTGCCCTTTCTCTCCTATTCTTCACTAGTACGGCAATAGGGAGAGGCAGAACCGCCCACACAACAGATGAAATGAAACACGCCCTGGTGATAACACCCGTTTAGAGGGCACACATGATAAGTGTCGTCGCTGCTACAACATCCAGTCTCCACTGCTGTACAGCAGACGCACCTTCGACTTGCCCCGGTCCAATACCTTAACCGCCTGATGGAGCAAAGGGCTGGCGCGGATGGACCGGGAAACGAACTGTAGGACATTAGACACGAAGGCCGAGGCCAGGAAAGATGCAGAGCTCAACAGGTAAGCCATCACCGCGGTGGCTGCGGGAAGCGGGTGGTCTGGGGTTTCTCTTGCCTACATCGCAAGCATGGTCACACCAGCACAGAGCTCCCAGCACAACAGCAGGAATTTGAGAAATTTAAATGGGGGTTCCGTGAGTCATGCGGCGAGTTTACCCGAGATGGAAAACGGTTACATCACCTCCGGCCGCGTTGCCCTGTCTTCCTCTCGCACCACCACATCTCTCTTCACCAAACTCAGACAGCAGCTATGGCGGGCGTTGGGAGTGATGCAACAGAGCTTAAGCTCCACTCTTGCATCGGCTTCACCGGTGAGCAATAGTACCCAGTTTTTTGTGTATCGGATATCAGATCGCCGCTCATGTGAGTTGGCCCGCTTCGGGTTTGGCTGCCATGACCCCTGGGCTTTGCAGTGTATGTGGGAGGCACCGGGGCCATCCCCCATGGCTACCACTCTGGGTGATTAACGTGGTTCTTTCTGTTATTATTATATCGGTTTGTGTACGAGCATACCTGGTCTATGCGCGGTGTAAGTCGATCCCTCTTGTCTGTGATGAACACCCGGTGTGTGCCATAGATGACTCCTACACAGCAGTACAGCACATGCAGCAGCAGGGTCGGGGCAGTACAGTATTGTATCCATAGATGTGCATATGACGAACACACGCACACATTGCATTATACAGACCACGCCTCAAGTCAACACTGCGGCAGATGGTATCAGTAGGAAACATTTCTGTTGCCCGGCCTACTGCTGCTGTATCTTCGTTGTCCCCCCCCAAAAAAAGGTCTCTTTCTTTGTGCAGTAAATGCCGCTGTCCTGCCCAACATTAACATTTGTTCTTGTATAGTCTAAGCAAATGCTTTGGAAGTTGTGTCAATGGCATCAGCAGGCTCAAACTGCCGAGTATCGGTACCATTGTGGTAACTATGCCACCACCTGTGCATATATTGTTTTGCCATCATTCTCTCAAGACACAGTATATCGTACTATTTACAACAATCGGTGTCTGCAGGGCACCAACAATAGCATAGGTTATTCTGAGCTGCCCCATTCCACAACGAACACAGAAGTGCAAGCGATCCGACCTTGGCTGGCCGATTGACCTCTTTCAGCTGCATTCCCATGTAATATCGCCGGGAAGAGCGTCCTCTCGTTTCAGCTTACCAGCATGCGCGCTTCCATGTAGGTCAGTCTAGCGACGCTCGCGACGACTGTATCTGAAGGATGCTGAAGTGGACAATGAGGGTCATCATGAGACTACCCTTATCTCTCGCAGGCTTGCTCTCTGGCTTGCCTCTCTCCCACCAGGCTGTCTCTGAGCTCCTCCATCTGTCTGGCTTTGTCATCTTCCCCCATCGGAACTACGTTGGTACCAACGATTCTAAATGCACGAGGTTGCCGACCGGGAGCTACGAACGAATCACCCTACAGTATCTCCACCGGCAGGCAAACGTCGACATCTGTTTCCTCGTCCCATGTCGGCTAATCGAAACATGCTCTCAGGCAAGGTGCTCGGGGGCATGAAGCTGACCCCATGCGGCGGCTACATGGTGTATCCTCTGGGGTCGATACTGGTGGTGCGGAGCATGACGGGGAAGAACAAGCAGGCCTTCTTGGAGGGACACACTTCGGAAATATCGTGCGTCGCCATGAGCTCCGATGGAACTCGCATCGTCTCCGGGCAGGTGCGTGTGTCGCTGCTTTTACTGTTTGGTGCTTTATCTGTCGGTTGGTTTTGCCATGGCGGTTGTGGTGGTGGTTGCATGTTCAACTATTAAAAGGGTTTAGTCTGTCTCTCTACCTCGCATGTCTTCGCCCGGCATGTTTGGATGGGTGCGTGAGTGGTAGTTGCGGGAAGATCAGTCGAAGCGAAGAGAGGTAACCCTTCCATGTATCTCTACGAGGGAGCACGGCGCAGAGCAAGAATAAAACCGAACGCTTGAGGAAAGAGAACGGTAGCATGGATGGGACTGAAGCTCGAAGAAATCAGAAGTGAGACGGAACACTTCGAGAATTTGTTCAGCACCCGCATCCACTGCTCCTCTCTCGGCATCTCCCTACTCCAATCGGCCACGGGCTTTATGAACGCGCGCTGTGTGCTTGTGACGGCTGTGACACCCGAAAACACTTTAAAACACAATGTTGCTGCTGCGGGGACTACCTACCCAGGCGAACCACATGGGTGTGAAAGCGGACCTTTGCGTTTGGGACCTGATCCAAGCTCAAGCGAACTGCGACGCCGAGAAGCCGAGCGGGGCGGGCGTGCTGCTCCACCGCTTAAAGCAACACCTGGGCCACGTCCGGGCCGTTGACTTCAGGTATTGATGGTGGTGATGCCGACCGACTACCACGTTTGGCATAAAATTATGACGAGGCAACGTGTTACACTTCGTCTTGGCCCTCGGGCGTGCGATAGGAGTGTATTGGTAGTGGTAGCACACACGCCGGGAACTCTCAGAGAGTAGTACACGTCGCTCTGCTGAGTCGACATGAGAGTCTAAAGAACATGTGTTTGCTGTCCCTAGGAACATGGACAGAGAAGTCTCTCGGATAAACGCCGACTTGTTTGTGCCGTCCATTTTCAAGCCAGCCCTTACACCGTATGCTTGAACAACCCTTACTCTTGCGAAACCGAACTCAACTCTCGCCCTACCGCGTCCAAGCTTGGCCTGTGACATGCCTCGCGCTTCTCGACAGGCAGGACAATGGTCACCAGTAGCCTTGTACGGCATTCAATGCGCGTTTTGGTGAGGAACGCTCACTACATCACCACACCTATCTCCAACCTCGTTTCGCTTCCGTGCTGCAGCTTCGACGGGAAGTACTTCGCGTCGCTGGGCGGTCAGGACGACAACTCGGTGGTGATCTGGGAGGCGAAGACGGGCCGGGCCGTGTGCGGCTCCCCCGCGGCCCAGGACTCCGCCTTGAGCGTGAAGTGGCTGCACCGCCGCAATGACCGCTTCGTTACCGCGGGTAACTTCCACCTGAGGGTCTGGCAGGTCGACGTCTCGATTCCCAAGGTGAACACGAATTGTGAGGGGTTAAACTTGGTGTGTGGCACGTGTAAGCTGCTTGAGTCGGAAGGGAAGGATGGTGAACGGCCAACGGTGCTGGCGGGAGAAATGAAATCGCCAAGCAAGCTTCCTTCTGGCCTAGTTTTTGCAGGACAAACAACTCGCCACATGTGGATCACGTATGCATTGGCGTATGCGGTTGGTGGTGTAAAAGAACGACGTCCAGACAAGATGGAATGCAGTGGTAACAAGACTGTCAATTGTTGGTTGAAGGAAGTAGAGGTAGAAGTTTGTTCCAGCTTCTACGACCCTCTTTCCGGTAAGGTTGTTTTGTTCGGGTCTAAGCTTCTATGAAGACGTCGTTGTCAGGTATTTGCTCGGCATGGACCATGAGACGGCACGATCAGTATGACCGGGTGTACTTCCGCCTACGCACGGCCATGCGCTTGCGTTGACTACAGATTATGAGCCCCTCGACACATGGTTGCTCTACATGGCTGCCTGTGTTTTCAAGACACCCCCTTTCGTTGCGCATGCGTTTGCAGGTCCACGCCGTGGACGCCCAGATGGGGGGAATGCGCCGTGCGATCGAGTGCATCAGCATCACGGAGGACGACGAACACGCCTACTGCGGGACTCGCACCGGGGACGTTCTCAAGTTCAAGATCGACCGAGATGACATCCGGGTGCGTGCGCTCCGTGTGTGCGCATCGTCTAGAACGCCGTGTGCCGTTTTCATATTTCTACTTTATAGCATCGACCGTGCTAACCGGCTGACCAATGAAAATACGTCACTCTCAGTGCGGTTGAAAACACAAAATGATTCTAAAGGCCACGATCTGGGACCCCGTGAGGGTGTGCATGTGTGTGTGTTTCAAGGTTTGCAACAGACCGCGCTAACCGGTTTGCTGCTAAGGATATGTCTGGTTGCCACGGAGTGAACCTTCATGGGTCGTGGCCGGGGCCCCCGCCGCAGGAAAACTTTCGCTGCGTGTGCGTGCGTTCGTTCGTGCGTACGTGTGTGTATGCCTGCGTGCCCGCCCAACGTGAACGACTCTGCTCCCAAACACGGTGTCGTCAGTTCAACTCCCTGATCAGCGTCGCGCCACACAAACAAATATACTGCCCCCACCTACCCTTCCCTAGCGCTTCCTCCACGCCAACCAATTCTCCTCCGGCACCGAGTCCATCGCTTCATTGCTGCCTCCCCCCTCTTGTCTCTCCCTCCATAGGTACACGCTTGTCATCTGCGATTTCTTTCTTCATGCCCCCGATTCTCCGCTCTACTCACTGCCTTTGCCCTACCTCATTGTTGATGCTGCGCACCCGCGTCGGCTTTGACGGCGTGTGATTTTTTGTGGTATGTTTTGATTTTTGTCCCACGACCGACAGTACTTCAACGACCCGGACACCATCCGCCCCACCCTGGCGGGCTACAGTCTCGAGAAGTTCGGCAAGGGGGTGCGGTCCGTGCGCTGCGTGCTCAACCCGGAGACGGGCAACACCAACACGCTAGTCGGCGGCGGCGACGGGACTGTCAGCTTCATCAACCAATCTCTGAACAAGGTTTGGACCAGATGGGCCTGAGCACGGGCACCTTTGTTCGTTGAACGATGGTTGTCCGTCTGGTGCTTGCTTTTTCTGCGCTGTGGTGCTTGTGGGTAAATTGATTGGTGCGTTAGATTGGCGGGACACACCGACTATTTGGCAGCACTTTCTTGGTGCCAATCGACGGGGGTGGTGCCTTTAGATGTGGGTATCTATGCGCGGCATCTCTCCAACGGGACTGCACGACTCCAGAGAACGGCTTCATCGACCGACAACGACAACGCGTGCGACCGCTGCTACTTTTTTTGTCTCGCCCTAACCGATCAGGTCGCTGGCAAGCACTGCGAGCTGATGGGCGCGGTGACCTCGATTGCCGTGTGCCCCGGCAACAAGGGCTTCTTCGTCGGGACGGCGCTTTCCAACAGGTACTACTCGCCTAAAAAAATCACGCCGTCTTGTTTGCATCGTACTCGAGACGTGGTGGAGAGGGAGGAAGGGACGGATAACAGTTGCCCGCCTCTCTCTGTCAATCGACGGTTGGCCACGGAACCTCTTTCAGCAGAGCAGAACGCCGTTCCTCCGCCTTCTAGACGCCCCTCCCCTCCAACGCGCGTCAGGTGGTCGTGCAGTTTGGCGCTTTTCCACGCGCCAGATGAGGCGTGCGGGCGAGAGTACTTGAAAACGGAGGAGGGGGGGAGGGGTGTGTACTACGCCCGTACGTCGGAGCTTGGTCGATACACGCTTCGAGCATGCAGGGTGCTTGGTCGATATATTCTTCCGAGCATGGGGAGAGGCGGAACAACAACCAACTTCCCTAAGCGGAGCGCGGCTTCCTGTAGTCCTACCACGTTGCTCACGAACTAAAATAAGCGTTTCGCCTTTGTCGATTGCCGGTGTTGGTGCATGTCTACCTGTGATGAAATTGACTTTTTTTTTTGTCTTGCAAAGTGTCGGTCTTGGATTGGTGTCACTTCCGGTATGCAAGTGTCGCCCGGAGGAAAGGGAAAAGTGACGGTGCCACTGTTAGCAAAGCTTTGTTCATTACGATCAACAATCGCCAAAACTGGGCTCATACCCCCCCTCAATTCCACTCGCTAGCGGTGCTTTTGCCTGGCTTTGCGTTGGGGATTGTGTGCATGCTGCTTGGCAGACTTCGTACAAACGCAGGCAGGTGACTTTGTCACTTTGAACTGTGAAATCGGCGGAAAACCCACAATCTGAACTTTTATCGAAGGACAAGAGACTACGGTTGTCTTGATTTTGGAACGACAACATTGAACGAAGTTGTGTTGACACCCAGAACACTTTTGTGTTGCAACAGGTACTGGGTAACGATGGACATGGAAACGGAGCTGCGCGGTACCTGCCACTTCGCCCGCGTGAACGACATAATATTCCCCGCCGGTTGCTCTGACCTCTTCATCACCTGTTCCGTGGCTGATATCCGTGTGTGGAACGCTACTCTTCGACAGGAGCTCCTGCGCATTCAAGTGAGCGTTGCAAGTTGAGACATGGTCGCACGCACGTCTACCCTCGCAAATCGCGCACTCGTGATTTGGCAAGTTGTCTTTGCGTCAAGCCGAGTACCCTTTACGTTTTCTACTTCGTATTCGATGTTCTTTTCTGTGCTTCGGCGTCTGTATGTTTCTGTCGTTTCGCTTATTCTTCATGTTACATGGTTTCTTGTGCCTCTTCGTTGTACACTAGCTTAGCGGCCACCCACCGACGGTCGTTTGTACGCACCTTTCTCCCGGAGCTTGAGCGTGATCGTCAATCGCGGGATAACCTAAATAGGTGAACATTGGTCGAAACTGATGCCGAACGAGCCCCAGAAGAGAGTCTGCACGGGAGCACAAACCGTACTACTGTATATCGACCACGTACAACACCACGGTGTGTCGCTTTCTGTTTCGGCGGACCTGATCATGGTTTAGTTCCGCCAACTGGTTCGCGGAGCAAGCCTGACAAAGCAACGCCATGCTGTTTGGCGTGTGCAAAAAAGGTGCCCAACCTGGAGTGCTTCTGTGTGGGTATCACGCGATCGGGCGGAACGATCGTGTCTGGCTGGAGCGACGGCAAGATTCGCGCCTTCTACCCGGAGTCCGGCAAGCTCAAGTTCGTCATCTCCGACGCGCACGCGGACGGTGCCACGGCCTTGGCCCTTGCGCAAGACGACGATACCCGCCCACCTTGGAGGTATCTATTCTAGCAGTTTATACGCAGCAAGTTACCGCCGGCGAGAGCTAGAGGGCTGAGGTTTTCTATCTGGGCGGGTTGATAGCGGCTGGCTGGATCAATCGTCAGGGCGCGTGGGTAAAAACATTGAGGAACTCGTTCACTGTGGTGAAAGATAAGCCTCTTTTGTTGTATTGGGAAGGAAACATTGTCGCTTTTCTCTTCTTCAGAAAAAATTGCGTCTAGCTTACAAATCGACAGCAGCAAAAGCTACTTTACAACAATTAACGTCGGTACGTTTAACGGAGTTTTGGCGAATGCGAGTGTACAGCAGTAGTGCCTCGATCGCACAAACATGGTCCGTGTTCGGTGTTGTTCGGTATACTATTGTGGGGCTAAGGTAGTCTGTATTCATCTTGCCAATTGGTAAAGGAAGCTCTGTAGACAAGCCCCCGACTATCATATTCGCATTGCTTCATCCGCCATGCGGCCAGGAAAGAACTGATCGTTTATGCCAAGCTAGACTGAACATCCGATGAAGCCCAACAACACGCCTGCGATGTCTCATGTTAATGGGGCTGTGGTCGTCAGGCGGCCGGATCTCGTGCAACTCCAGACTCAGCTAGATAGAAGGTGTAAATAATACTCCGGAGTGTATGTTAACCTGTGAAGAGCGCAGCTTTCCCCGACCCCCAGCCCGGCCCCTCTTGATCTACATCTCATCTCATCCCCCCTCCCCTTCCCCCAATCAGGCTCTCCCTCCACTCAAAACATTTCCTGCCCGTATCGTTCTCTCTCTAACAACTTCTTGTGTCATGTCATATCACAGGTTGATCTCGGGCGGCGGGGATGGGCGGGTGCGTGTCTGGTCCGTGACTTCCTCGCACCAAGCCATGACCACGTCGTGGAAGGAGCACCGGGGACCCGTCACCTGCATCCAGGTACATGCACCCCCGCATGCATCATCGGGAAGACCTGTAGCGGTCGCACAGGGGGGGGGCGTATCCTTCCCCCGGCGAAGCGGAGAACAAACGTGACAGGAGAACGGTCATAAATGGTAGGACTATTTTAGAAACGGTGAAACTTTTGGAGGATTTGTGTGTGCGCCATGTGTTCGGTCTTGATGTAGGCTCTGTAGGTGTCGCCACTAGGTGCCACACCGACCAACCAGCTTTTAGTCATGATGCCTTCGGGTCACTCCACAGCAATGTTATCATGGAACCACGCTCTCCCCTCCCTAGAACCGGCCACCTCCTTGGAAACGTGCAACACACGGCCACAACGACACTCCCGAAAACGCGCACACGGAAAAAAAAAAAAAGGTGTCTCGCGAAAACGGACAGTGCATCTCGGGATCTGCGGACGGGTCGTGCATCGTCTGGGACCTCAACCGCGGGGTCCGTGTGCTCGCCCTCTTCGAGCCGAACGTCTTCAAGGGGGTCCGGTACCACCCGGACGAATCGCAGTACATTACGTGCGGTTCCAACCACAAGGTACGGCGAGGAGGACGTGGTGAGTGTATTTTGCCGGCATAGACTGCGATATTTGGTTGACCAATGAAAATATATCATTGCCCGTGGGTAAAAAATCAAAGTCCGTGGAAAGGAGGGCCAAGATGAGAGAAATGCTAAACTCGCTGAATGTGAATACCAAACGGACTCTCTGCGAACCTTTCTGTGCGTGTGTGCATATGTTTCTTTTATTTGGAACCGACCACGCTAGCCGGGTGATGATGATTGAAAAGACGTCAGATTCAGGGGATGGACATTAAGGTTCCCTGAGGGGGGCAAACTTCGAAGAATAGGTGTCGCCCAGAACGCCGAAAAAGACCTCTCTGTTATCCTATGGGCGAGAGGATTACACCCCAAGCTTCCCGCAAGCCCGAACCCTTGCGTGGGGGGGGAAGGGGGGGGGGGGGGCATGATGTTGACTTGCTTCTAGATGCACCTATGCATCGATGGATACACCTCCCTCTTCTACTATCGTAAAAGTTCGTGCTATGACAACGGGGTGCGATCGTTTTTTATATCACTGTCATTCCTCTCTTGGCTTTTTGTCGCACCCCGGTGCCACAACATCGATGACACCCGTGCGGAAATGCAATTACATCATGCAGTACTAGGTTTTTGGAGGCACGCCGGTGCCGCAACACCGATTGGGTGCGAAATGAACGACGGGTGCCATGACACACACTTTTTTTGGTATTGTGCTGGTCCACCGTGGAGCTGCTCTTCTCCGGACAACTCTCATTTTGTCTTCCATCATTGCAAAACGCGACGGTCTCGCGTGCACGTCGAACGAAACGAACAAGATCACGTACTGGGACGCGTACGACGGCACCGCCATCCGCGTGATCGAGGGGGGTGACGAGGAGATGAACACCCTCGACGTGGAGCCTTCGGGGGAGGCGTTCGTATCCGGCGGGGACGACGGGCTTGTTAAGGTACCGTGCGATAATATCTGAGACAACTATATATACAGCTAGGTTAGACTAGATGCGGAACAATTGCAAGACAGGCGGCATATCTCAATCACGCCCCAACGAAGAGAAGGGAGAGGGTTGTGCCAAGGTACGATACAGCTGGGATTGATCTCGATGTACGTCAGCTTAGACCAGGCAAGCCTGACACCAGCTTGAACAGAACGGAAAACTTTTCCTAAAAGTTAGCTCCGTTTGGGACGGGGTTGGGGCTGGCAGTTGTGTTGGGCTGTGCGGGGTAGCTTTCGTCTGGTGGATTCCTCGGCCGGACTATTGTTTTCGTCCGCTCGAGCCTGTCTTGGAAGGGTATTCGTTCGTGTCTGCCGGGGATGCTGGTAGAAAAGCACTGTAATTACCAGGAACACGTTGATCCATCGGTCTTACGGTTAGTTTTTGCGTGCCAGACTCGTCCACAGCCCGTGTCAATTGACACTCGCGAGCTCGGCGCTCATCGGGAGGCCTTTATGTCTAATCTCGCATGTTTGCCTGTCGTTATGTGGTGCTCCCGGGAATAAAGACGCGTTTGGTGCAAGGCTTTCGATAACGAACTGCTACTGCTACAAGTGAGCGCACAACACCTGAACTGTCCAACAACCGACGTCCGCGTGACCCCGCCCGATGGCGTTCGTTGGCGCATAACTGTAAATAGGTGTGGCACTACGACGACGGCCTGACGATGAGCGTCGGCACGGGGCACAGCGGAAGTGTGGCGGCGGTGCGAATCTCGCCCGACCGCAAGATCATCGTCTCCGCCGGGTCCGAGGGTGGAATATTCATCTGGGGGATGCCACCGCCGTCGTGCGATGCTCACGCCGGCGGGAGCCCCGGCAGATCGGGGGCGACAACGAACGGGTGCAACTTGGAAGCGGTGGCGGCTGGCGGGAACCTTAACATTGATAAGATGGCGGACGACGTCTCGCGCGTCTCGATGAGCAGATGATCGGGGGAAGAAAGGATTTTGCTGCGTCAAATGCTCGAACAATTATTATGAAATCAGAGTGATTTGGGTTGGCTTGTTGTTGCCGGAGTTACTTCAAGAACAGGGGGAAGAGGTGCGGTCAGAACAACTTGGGTGTGTTCTTCCCCAAAAGTGGCCGGCTCATACAAGATTGTTTGGGACCTGCTGGGCTTGACGCCGTGATATTAGTGGCGGGTCCAATGCTTCTCTCTCGGCTAAATTTAAATGCAACTACCACACCGTATGTTACTGCGCACCTGCGATCTGCATTGTTTCATGGCGACGAAGAAGGTGGTGGCAAAGAGCACGCAATTTTTTCGCAAAGTGGATCCGCTGCTTCTTCTGTCCAGTCATTCCTCCGTTGTAAACAACAACGTCAACAACAACAACAACAACAACAACATGTGTAATACAGTTGCAAGCAGTGTTTTCTTTCGCTGGGTGTCGGAAAGGGATGGCAACATCCAAGGGTGGTGTGCAAGAAAAACGCGCAAAATTGCACGCAGCTGCCATTTTTGTTATGTAAGTAAAAAGTGGACTGTTGTAGCCGAAGACGAGAGCAGTACGAGAGGGGGCGGGGGGGGGTTCAAACTCAGACATTAGGCACGTGACGACGAGTCTCTCGGCGTCAAAGCAGCCTCGACGGCGGTAGTAGCACGTTGCCCTCGTTGACCCCGACCCGAAAGGGGAAGCCGTCGAGGAACTGCAGGGGGCGTTGTTTGACGAAGGTGGGAAGGTATGGTCAGAGGGCTTCCAGGATAGATGGCGGAGAGAATGCCCGGGGATAATGAAGCAAAAGCCCGGCAACTCGAGATAACCTCCACCCTACCGAATTTGAAGAGAGGGCTGAAATCACGTTCCGGGGCTGGGTGGGGATGTTCTTTCTGGCTGTTTTGGTGCGTCTTGACGAGCAGAAGGTATTCTGAGGGCTTTGATTAGACGAGCGCACGTTGCAGCGGCTACCTTGAGAGTAACATTCTTCGTGTGCGTCCGGGAGTGGCGTACCCACTCAAGCCGCTGAAAAAGTTTCGCATTCACGTCTAAAGCCCTCTTGCCGTGCGGGTGAGGGATTGAACAGTTTTTCCTCCCGCCCCCTTCGAGAAAAAACGTCCAAAACTGAAAACCTCTCCTCTTGGACACTCACACAGCAGACCCCTACTGATGGAAGTTTCCATGTCATGGCATCTCGGCCAATCCCACGGCAAAATAAGGCAGGAAACTAACGCCGCTGTTGCACGTGCCGACTCTTGTTCTAAAAAAAAACATTTAGACAAAGACATACCCCCAATGTCATGTCCCTCTCTACATTTTCAGAACACCATACAACATTGAACAAACGTTTCTATTGGGTGCCACAGGCTGTAGATAACGCTGGTAAAGAATTTGCGCAAGCCAATTTGGTTGGACTTACGCCGAGAAGGTGTTTCCACACCCAGACTCCGAGGTAGGGGTCTACAACTCCTGTTGGGGCCTTCTTCTTGGATTGGGTGTTGTATATATAGCTTTCGCGAGTGATGTGTTCTTTCCCGGGTCCTTTTGACCTTACCGCATTTCATCATGGTTGCGCTCGTAAACGCGCGAAAACAACTGCGGGCACAATAAATTCACTCCGTAGAAGGACACGTAAAGAGGAAGCGCTGCGCCAATGCCAGAGCGGTTTCTAAAACGATGAAGAAAACAAAACAAACGCAAGCAACTTACAATACAACACAGCACCATGCTTTTTCAAAACGAGACTCCTTGACAGGACACGACGCGGCCCAAAAACACAAAATACTTTCACATGGGAGCAAAAACCAACCGGACAACGCACAGAAAAAAGCGCCGCATTCACGTCCACCCCAACAATAATGTACACATGTTTTTTCGCATCGCTCCCATCAGAGAGCTAAGTCGCTTTTAATAGCCGAATGCGTGGTTTGTGATATTAATAGTAATACACAGAATAAATACCCTACAGTGACTCTGTTGGCACGGTCGTCGGCCACCGTGATCTGATCTAATTCCCGAACCCGAGGGCCCACGGCCGTTCACTCGGGAAGCCCAGCTCCGGCGGCGGGGTCTCTTCGAACGACGCCGCTCCATCCGCAACTCCGTGCGCATTTCCGTTCGCTCCGCCACCGTCGTCGACAGACTCGGCCAATGAGCCTCCCGTAGAGTGCGAGTTGAAACCTCCGAACTCCTTCCGTAGCCTCAGCGGGGACAACTGGGTGCGGCTTCCCGACCCCGAGTCGTACTCCTTGCGCAGCCGCAAAGGAGACGACTCGGCCTCTTCGCCCCTGCCCCCCGAGGGCTGCTGTTGGGCTTCTATCGCCAGGCCCTCTCCGGAGGCAGGCAGCGTAGACCAACCCGCTCGCCAGTTCTGTCCTCCTCCTTTTCCTACACCCGGGGCGTCGCCGGCATCTTCCACTCCAGTTTCAGCGGCGACGGCCAGCGGCTTCGCGGGAGATTGCGGTGGGCGCCCGGGTACCACGTCGGGCTTCTTACCACCGCCGCCGCCGCCGCCGCCGCGCGACCGCATGGGAGAAGTAGGGCTGGCCACGACCTCTATCAGAGACACAAGGGCGGACAGGAAACCGCTGCCGCCGACACTGGCCGCTTTCTTGTGCCCTCGCTGCTTTCGCTCGTCGTCGTCGCCGCCGCCGCCGCGGCCGCCGCGCCCTCCCTCGATACTGCCGCCGATGCTGCCCGCTTTCGCCCTGTGCCCTCGCGGCTTTCGCTCTCCGCCGCTTCCGCCGAGCCCTCCCTCGCTACCAGTTTGCCCCCTCAGGTAGTCGGGGTTATGTTGCGGCGGCGCGATGTACGCGGCCCCGGCGGCAGCAGCTGCGGTCGCGGCGTCCAAGTTCATCACGGCCACGGTAGGGGACAGGAGCTCTTGCTCCGCCGCGATCCCTCGAGCGCTGCTCGGGGACATGCCGAGTATTGGATTCTCGTCGAAAACGTCGTCATCGTCATCGTCCTCCTCCTCTTCCTCTTCCACCAGGGAAGCCGGGAGAGGAACCGCCCCTTCCAGGACACACGACCAGCACAGCTTGAGGGGTCGGTCATCGGACGGCACCGGCGTGGGCGGGGTGTGGGCGCTGCAGTAGACTTGGCCGCAACCCCGGCAGTGGTGCTGAGCGAGGGGGAGGTGAGGGGGGGAAGGGGGCATGAGTCACAACGCAAGGTTTGGGCTTTACGACACCACACCAGAAAAAAACGAAACGAGGTGGCGTGATACGGCGGACTCGCCGACATCTTGTGTCAACTCCAATCGTTTCCTTTTTGCTGCCTTCATCAAGTTGGCCTCTCAGCAGGACAACCCTCAAACCTCCTCGCGAAGCCTGCCTCCCTGAGGGGGGAGGGTCCCGACTCTCTATATCTGAGCCCTTTACGATCGCGAATCCTAACCCCCCGACCACATCGGGTGTGTCGTCTACTCTTCCCGTTGACTGCTACAATTCCATTCTCTCCTGTATCTCTCTCTCGCCACTTCTCGCCTCGGCGGGATCGCGATCTTTTTCTCACCCGGAACACGTTGAGAGAGAACAAAATGAAGCACTCCGGGCAGCACCAGGCGTCGTCATTTGCCTCCCACGGAACCCCCGACTCGGCCATCACCCAGCTCATGTGTCTATGTAGCCCCGTGGAGCTAGCCGCTTGCATGATTTCGGGATTGAAGTGCTCGCCATCCATTCCTGTTGTTCGGACATTTGTCGAGAGATAGTGGGGGGAGGGGTTACACTCATTCGCGGACTGCCTTCAGTCATGTAGCCAAGACCAGGCATATCTGCAAGAGGCTAAGAGGTTGTACACGGTCAATCGGGGGGGATATGCGGGCGACACCGTGGGTGTTCACATGGTCTTCGGGAAGGGACGCGTGCGGACCAGTGTGGTACCAGGAACTCCAAACGAGTCCCGAAATTGTCAAATGGCTTACGTACACCCCGTAAGCCCGGAGTAAGTGTCACCAACATTCAGACACACTGCAAGCTTGGGAACAATTGCACGCAGGGCAGCCGTTTGGTGCCCCTGCGGTGCACAACAGGATTGCGCTGCCTTACCCAGACCCTTGAAGGGTCCGCCCCAGCCGTGCCGAGAAAGCGTGCCTCCGAGCGATAGCCCCATCTCCTCTTCCATGTGATGCTGCAGCCATGTCTGCTCGCGTCAAAACAACGAACACGGCAGTTTCGACGAACGAACGCGCGTAATCGGAGATTTTCTCATGAAAAGACGCAGGGCGCCACGTAGACGCATATTCGTGAGGGCTAATATCGGAGCCACCGCGACTGTCCTCTCATCGCCTCGGTTTGGTAACCTGTTTCCTTGCTAGAGAACGGTACAGCAGCAGTACAGATCCTGCTGCTGGGGCATGGTTCACGCCGGAGCCAAAGGAGCACCCGCACAACAGCAGTGTTCGGTGACATAAAAAAAAACAGCAACAACAACAACAACAGCAACAGCAACAGCAAGGACGCCAACGCCCACCTGGGCGGGAAAGCAGGCGCGAACGAAGGCGGCCGAGTTGTCGAACAGCCTGTGCCGGTCCTTAGGGACCGTCGTCTGCGGCCTCCGCTCCCACGTGCCCAGCAGGACCGAAGGCATCGTCTCCCACGGAACAGGGGACGAGGACATGGACAGGCACGACGGCCCGACGCTAGCCTCCATGATCTCTTCGGTCGAAGTGATCGTTCCGGGCCCCGGCCGTCGGAGCCCTCCCGGCTTCCAGCTGTCCTCCTCCACACCCGATCCACGGGCAACTCCACCTCGGGCGTTTGCGTTTCCCTGTGTGCATTTTGTTATGTTTTTTTGCCGTTTCGCGAACCAGAAAGCGGCGGGGGAAGAAAATCAGTGCGGGTCTCCCCATCAGAAGCAGCGGAAAACGGTAAGCTAACGCGTCGGCCCCTCGGAGCTACGAATAAGTTGCACCGGACAAGGCCGGGCCAGTAAGAGCTAGCTGCTTTTGAACTGGACAAGGAGGTTTCAAAAGTCGTACGCCGGTTTGATTGGGGTGGAAATTTTTCGGGCGGGACGTGGTATGATAAGAGAAATCGTGGCCGTGTTCGGGCCGCTTCAGTTACCCCGAGACTGGGGGGCACGGCAACAACAATGGTTTTATCATTCGGTATGTTCACCCCCCTCTTTTCACTTGCCAGCGACCTCTTGCGGACAGATACCCCCCCCCACCCCCCCGATCCATCTCTCCCCTGAAGATCCAACCCCTGCGTCATAAGCGTACCCCTCCTCCCCCCTTCTTCGCTCCCCGCTCACCTCGTTAAACAGCTCTTCCCAGTCGTCCCCAATCGCGCTTCCCAACTCCCACAGTGTGGCGCTCTCAAGCCTATCCCTTCCGCCACCTCCGCCTGGACCGGAGCTTCCCGAACCACTCCCCCCCCCCCCCCCCCCGGGACGGGCGCCCCCCCCCCCCCCCCCTTCCACGTTCGCCGCCCCCCTACCCCCCAACTCCCACGCCCGTGCTGGGTTGGACCCCGCTGCCCGAATGGGGCCTCCCCCCAGCGCTGCCCCTGCAACAATTGCGTGGGCCCCCCCACTACTGGTAGCGAAACTTGGAAAGCGCGGCATCCTCTTGGAAAAATGACTGGCGTTTCCCCTTCCCTTGCCCCCCCCCCGGGGGGCGGGGGCGCTTCCCCCCCCCCCCAACTCCCCCAGCTGGGGACGTAGGGTTTTATTTTCTTCTCCGGAGG